TTCTCCTCCACAGATGCTGCCAGACCTGCTGTGCTTTTCCAGCAACTTTGTTTTTGTTCCCTAGTGCTCCTGGTACCTGTTCCATGTACACCTAAATCCACTACAGCTTAGAATTAATGAAAAGAGTCTTTTATAAACAGGCATATAACTATGCCTCAACCCAACATATAGTCATGCCCTAAAATCAAATCGATCCATTAATGTAAGTCACAAAAACAAAAAAAAAAAGTCAAACTAAACTCCAACTGGCTCATGTTAGGTATGAATCATAGAAAATGCTAAATAAACTCAAGTCTGGAAACATCTAAGGAAGCCAAATCAAACTTTAAAGTTTAATATTTTTCTCTTTCTCCATAAATGCTGTTAGACCTAAGATTCTCCAGAATTTTGATTCAATGTCAGTATCTGTTTTGGTTTTATTCTGTTATAAAATCACAATTATACAGAGGATTAATTTGGTGTTGAGTAGCATACAGGTCCCATTCCACATTTTAAATGAAATTTCCCTCGGCTGAAGTTCTAACTGGAACATATTTAAAGCATTCCATTACCAAAGTCTCATCAAACAGCAGGGTTACTAGAATGTGGACTGGATAGATAAATATATATGCCCCAATTTGAGTATCTAGGACATATCTGGACTTGCTATGCAGCAACAGACACTATTCTACAATCTTTTCTACTTATTCTAAATTGAAAGATTTTAGATCAAATGTGCACTGGGTTTGTATGAAAGCCCAGCAGAAGCATCAATTTTTATTAAAGCAAGAATTGTTTAAAGTGCTTCAAAATGAATGTTGCACACTAAACTTAAAGCAACAGATACTGGGACATGTCACCATAAACCTCCTTTGAACAAGCTTAAGGAGCGCTTCCCAGGAGAAATTCGAGCTAAAGAACAATGAAACTTGGATGTGCAAGAGGACAAAATTGGAGGAAATTCACCCATGCAGCTAAAAGATGATCCTGTGGGGTTTTTTTTTTGGGTGTTGCCAACATTGTTTCTCTCTCTCCAGTAATCTCACTGCCATATTTGATCCTGAGATAAACCTAAGTACATATTCCATTTATCTATTTCTATTTCCATTTCCAGGATATTGCACAATATTTTTTATATTGGTGAGATGAGCGTTACTGTGTAAGCCATAGTTTCTTGCCCATTTCTTACTGCCCCTGAGCCAAGTGGTTTGCTAGGTATTGAGGGAATCAGTCACATGGCTGTGGGTATAGTGTCACGTAGACCAAAGCAGGTAAGGATGGCAGATTTCCTTAAGTGAACCAGTGGGGTTTCTTTTCTAGGAATTGTTGACATATACTCACTTTCATTTTCAGGTTTAAAAATGGAATTTGCATTGTACTAGCTGCCTTAATGGGATTTGACCATGTTGCCACAGTATTAACTAAGATCTCTAAATGATTAGTCCAGTGATATTGCCTATACAGTAACAACTCACCCTGCCCCACCTCATTTGAACTGTTGCTAAAATGTCTGACCAAACTGACAGCAATACCTCAAGTCTGCAAAGGGATATAGAAAAATTGTGGGCAAGCAATTGTCAGATGACAGAATACAATATAGGAAAAATGTGAACTTGTCCACTTTGACAGCAAGAATAGAGAAGCAGTATGCTTTTTAAAATGGAGAGAGATTGCAGAACTTCATTAGAAAGGGATTAGGGGATCCTGTGGTATAAACTACAAAGTTGGTAAACAGCTACAGCAAATGGAATGTTATTTATTGTAAGAATGGAATACAAAATTCAGGATGTTTTACACATTTGCAGAACTTAGACCACAACAGGAGTACTGTGCATGGTTTGACTCAAGGATATAAGTATGTTAAGAAATGTATTCACTTAAAAAGTGAATGTTCACTCAACTGATTCCTAGGATGGGTTTATCTTCAGGCAAGGCTGGACTTGTATCTACTAGAGTTAAGAACAAGACAAACAAACAAAAAGATATTGACACTACTTAACAGAACAGATGCTGAAAGAATGTTTCTTGTGGGAGGAACTAGAACAAGAATTTAACAAAGCTTTAAAGTTAGGGGACTACCCATTTAAGACAGGAGAAATGTTTGAGGATGGTGGATCTTTGCAACTTTTCTTCTCCACTTAGGAGTGGAAGCAAGGTTAATGAATATTTCTAAAGGCAGTTTGTTAGATACTTTACTTAGGGAATCAAAGGTTCAGGGTAAGTTCACTGAATGACTAGACAAGCTCAAAAAGGCCAAATGACCTATTCCTAAATTTATGTAAAACATTCATAGTCTCAATTTGGTTATTCTGACAATCCTGGCTAAGTTGCTTCAGTCTACCCTCCTATAATTTTGAGGTTGACTAAAGCACAGTTGCTTGTATTTTCACTCACATTTACTGTTGTTCACCTATCAGGCCTGTCTCTGCTTTTTGAATGATATTGACTCATGGTTAAACAATGTCTTAATTATAAAAGCAAACATTCACCATATTTGGAAACAAGAAATGATTTTTATATTTTATTTCAAAGCTAGTTGCATATAGGTATTAGTTTATTTGTTCCTAATGGGATAGTCATCCAATTGCATTTCAAATATTATTGGACCAGTATTGTGTTTCAGATCTATCCAGGTCAATTCTAACCTCCTGAGAGAAAGCTAAGCATTTAATGCCCAACTCATTTGTATAGTTTGATGGTATTAGTTAAGCCAGACCAATTTGCATCAAATTCTCGATTCCTCAGACACCAGGAACTAGGGTGCGTGTGCATAGGAGCTCAGTTTTTTTTTTAAAAAAAAAAGAAAAAACAAAAAAGGTATCAAACCTTCACAAAGGTAGCAGAGATCCAGTCTACAAAGGCCATTTGGAAAATTGAAATAAGCCAGGAACACTCCTGCTTTTAAATTCACAAACCCAATTAAAACCAGGCTACATTAGATGTTAAGAAACTGGGGAAAAAAAGAGGGGGGGAAAACATTCTACAAAAATAAAGTTTCCTCAGGCCTAATTGTCTGATAAAAGATAGAAGTTTAAAAAATCTCATCTTTCCACAGCCATGAAAGTTATTATTTACATTTTGTTCGATTCCGTTTTGTTGTTAACAGGTGGTTTTTGAAAGTCTTGTGGATATGAACTGGAGACAAGTTGTACAGACTCAAACATGAAAAGGGACAAATGCAAAATACCCTTGGGATAGATTTCTACTCCAAGATCCTTTTGCTTAAAGGCCATCATACTTGTGCACAAGTACAAAGTACAGACCAAGTCCCAGATCACCCAACATAATCTGTACAAAAGCAAAAATCAATTTGTTGCATACAAAATAAGCCAAGGAAAATCTTAATTTGACACTGAGCAGCATAGCAAGTTCTGAAAAACATTGCTTAGGTTACACAGAACACCTGGAGGCAAAAGAATAGAGCTTTGTGGACTCTGCCCCGAGCACCAAATGATTGCAGGGACATCATGTAGTGAAGAAGTACTAATAATGTAGAGTTAACCAGGAAAACAGTTTCCCATCCCTTTAAGTCTGGCATACAATAGCCTGCAAAATAAATTATATTCAATCTTAGATTGTCCCATTTGGATGATAGAAAGACTGTAGGTTTGGAAAGGTGTACAGGCTCATTGGGATTGATAAGTCTCAAAAAACATCACAATTGAGATTTTAAAAATGCTCGATTAAACCCTCTCAAGAAGAAACTATTGCCTATGGCAGGAGGGTCTGTAAAACAAGGACTTTGATTCAGGTTAATTGGCAAAACTAGATAAGAGTGCTGAGAATTTAACAAAGTGAGTATAGCTCCAGAATGTACTGACTGAAAAGGGTGGAAGGACAGTCAACTGCAAATTTCAAAAAGAGAATTGTATAAACCCTCACACTGAGAAATCGAGCAAGACTAGGGATATTGGGACTAATCAGATAGTTCTTCTGAAATGGAGTTAATGGCTCCCATTCATGCAAGACACTGCCTGTTGATAGAAGTGTGCAAACAAATGACATTTCAACTGATTCTCATATCAGGTCTTATCCAAGTTGCCAAAAGGCATTTCTGATCCATTATAGACACTTCTGCTTAGCAACCAGACACCAAGTCTTTAGAAAAGTAGCTAGTTAAAAATAGTAATACAAGGATGTAGATTTAATTATAGCATTTTCAAGTGCAATTTAAGGAAACAGTAAAATGAATAATCAATTTTTGCCTGTACATTTCAACTATTCATAATGGAGAAATTATAGTCACTTGCAGGCATTCAATTGTCATGCTTTTTAAGGATCACATCTCAAATTCTATCAAACTAAATCACAGAATGAAGGCAAGTCATCTGTAGTAGTTTATACACAATGGCAGAGAATTTACAGTAAAAAATTATTTAAATTTGGCCACAGGTAGGCTGGTCATTTTGATCCAGTTAGCCGAAGCTAGCTCCACAGTTTGGGCATCTCCGCTGTCGCAGTGCCAAGCAAAATAGGATCCCAATTGGAAAGAATAATATTGCACACAGCACACCCAGGCAAGTGAAGTCATCTTCCAGAACACCAACCCTGTTGAAAGAAAAACAATTCAATTAAGAATGTCAACTCACTACACACTCCCCCACTTTTAAGACAGCCAAAATAATTCACAACATGGAATACAGATACAGTTTAAGAGTGATACTGGTGATAACAGAACTAAAACTCCAAGTACCACTTGCAGACAAGTTAATTAGGGAATACAAGCCTAAACATTTAAAACAATTTAATAATTTAGTAGAGTAGATAGAGAGAGAAGCTATTCCCACTGGTGAAAGGAATCCAGAAAAAAGGAGGTACAATCTTCAAAATTTGAACTGGACTATTTTATCGAAGCTGTTAAAAAGGGAGCTGACGACCTAGTGGTATTACTGCTGGACTGCTAATCCAGAGACCTGGGTTCCAATCCTGCCGTGGCAGATGGTGGCATTTGAATTCAATGAAAAAAAAATCTGCAAGAGTTCAATAACCACCACAAATCTGTTGTCAATTGTCTGGTTCTCTGATGTCCTTTAGGGAAAGAAACTGCCACCCTTGGTCTGGTCTATACAGGACTCCAGACCTACAGCAACATGGTCGACTCTTAACTGCCCTCTGGGCAATAAATGCTGGCCTAGCTTGCGATGCCTTCTTACCATGAATTAAAAGGACAATAACAGGAAACATTTACACATTGTCCAGATTTTTTTTAATCCACAGTCCCACAAAAGAAAAAAATTGAAGCTGGAGGCAGAACAGATTTTTGTTGAGAAAAGATATTGAGACAAAAGAAACCATGATAACTAAATGGAGGAGTCAGATCAATCAGATCCAACTGAAGAATTTCACAGACACTAACAGCAGTTTTGGGTGCCTTACCAAAGTAAGGATCCTGTGCAAACTGAACAGATGTTATGACTCCAAAAAGGGATCGTAGCCAAACTGAGTCATGTTCCTATCCTTTATCCACACATCATAGCGTGGACCTGGCTTGTGTCCCCAAATCCTGGAACTGGAGTTGAAATTACAATCTTCTGACTCAGAAGAATGCACTTCCCAACTGAGCCAAGCAAATGCCACATGATTAAATATCATGACACCAGACCAGCACTGCTATACTTATATAGAACTCACTTATGAGCTGACAAAAGTTTTCCTTAGTGGTCTGCTCACTAGAGTTTCAGGACAGCAGAATAGTGGGGGGAAATGTATTTAATTTCAAAATCAGATTGGTAGATACTGTAAAGAGTAGTTTAGTTTTAAAATAGATTCTCTCCTGTCCCTTCCTGCCCTCTTTTCAAAATAAAGAGAAGGCTACAACCAAAGCAACCATCTCTGCAATTTCATGATGAATGCAGAATTCCAATACATTACTAATTGCAGGAGCTAGGCTAAAAATGGTGAAATTGTCAGTGTATGCTGCCATTGCAACTGGGAAAGCTGGTAGTAATTTCTAGAGTCCACTTGTGTGGGGTTAAAGAAGAGTCAGGAAAAGCAATGCTGCTGTCAGTGACTTTTTGCTCCTCCTTAGGAGCCACTGTTGAAATCCACACAGAATCTCAAATTGATCTTAACTGGGTTGGCAGTGATATATTGACAGTGTCACTGGACAGCATTCCAGGCTACTGTTCTGGGCACATGGACTCAAAACTCACCACAGCAGATAGTGAAATGGTGAGCACGAAACCATTACCGATGGTCTTAAAAACCCATTTGATTCACTGATACCACTCTGGAAAAGCTTGCCATCCTCACCTCATGTGGCCTACAACGTGGGTGACTCGAATATCCAGTTTTTCATAGCTACTTCGATGTCTCAAAAAGGAACAAACCAGATGCAACCAAGGCACCGGAAATGAATGACATTCCAGTCAACCCTGCAAAGTTCTCACTAAATCTGGAAGTTTGTTGGAGAGCTGTCCTACAGACCAACAAGCAGCCAGACATTGTTTGCAAGGTACGATTCTGAGAGAATAACCATGTCCCAGGCACCAGTAGTGGCTATGTCCCGGTCCACCAAAAAGTCAGATTCAGAGTTAGTGGTACAACAGTACATGCAGACAGAACAGTTACCCTGGGAGTCAGCAATATTAACTCTAGAGCCCATGAAGTTTCATGGCATCAAATCAAACAGGAAACCTCCTGACTACCACTTCTCACTCACCCTCAACTAGTGAATCAATTCTCCATGTTGAACACTGTTAGGGAGATGCACTGAGCACGGCAAGTATACAAAGTACTCTGGTTGAAGAACTAGAGAATGTCTATTTTCCCAAGATTGGCTCAGCAGCAGCATCACCAGCAATGACCAAGACCTAAAAGGACTAGCTACTAGACAGGCCAGAGGCAAGTGGTAAGGGAAGACATACTTAGCTTCATCCTCTATCTGTAACAGATGCATCTGTCCATTGCAGTATTAGTTGAGTGACCACCACAGTTCTTGAAGACAAAAATCCCACCCTTACATTGAGGGTACCAACCATTGTGTTGTATGGCACTACCAATATGAATTGGATAGGTATCAAACAGAACTAGCAACTCAAAACTGAAGCATGCTTGAAGTGCTGTGGCCTCAATCAGCAGAATTGTATTTAGCCAATTTGTAACCACATCCCCTCCCCCCCCCAAATCTACCATTACTACCAAGCCAGTAGATCAACTTTGGTTTAAAAGGAAGACTTGAGGGCATGCCATCAGCCACACCAGGCACACATGGAAATGAGGCATCAACACATGTCAAGCTGTACACAGCTAAGTAATCCCACAACTAACAGATGAGATCCAAGCTCTGCAGTCCTGGCACATAGTCTGGAACAGTGGTAGACAATTAAACTCACTACAGGAGGCAGCTCCAGAAATATTCCCATCCTCAACAATAGTGGACAAGACAAAGCTGAAGGGCTGTAACCATCTTCATCCAGAATATGGCAGTATTCTGGGAAAAGTGCCAAAGACTGGTGCTTCATAATTAGCCATGCCATTAACCAAGCTTTTCCGCTGTAGTTACAATACTGGTTACTACTCACTGTGGAAAATTACCCAAAAAGTAGGACAAACCCAACCAGTCAATTTCTGCCCCAGTCTCAGTGATGGAAGGGGTTGTCAGTGATGTCAAGCTGCACATATCCTACAATCACCTACTCTGAACTCAGTTTGGGTTCTGACAGAACCACCCAGCTTCTGATCTCAGAGTCTTGGTCCAAACATGCAAAAGAGTTGAACTTGAAGGGAAACAAGGGAAACAGTTCTCTAAATCGAGGCAGCATTTGACCAAGTGTGACAAATAGCTTGAGCAAAATCGGAGTCAATTGAAATCAAAAAGGTAAAAATAGCCATTGGCTGGAGTCATACCTGACACAGGAAAGTGGGTGTGGCTGACCTCCAGTCATTTCAGCTGCCGGAGATTTCTGCAGGGGTTCCTCAGGGTAGCATCCTAGAGCCAACTATCTTCATTTGCTTCATTAGTAGGTCAGAAGTGGGGATGTTCACTGATTATTACATAACATTCAGCACTATTTGCCACCACTCATACTGAAGCAGTCCATATCAAAATAGAAGACAACGTCCATGCTTAAAATGGATGGCAAGTAACATTCACATCACACAAGTGCTAGGCAGTGACCGTCTCCAAGAGAATTCAAACATGAATCCCGTAACATACCAGGGATCAATGGGGACTGTTAGCTCAGTTATAGAATCATTCGGCATGCAAACAGACCCTTTGGTGCCAGCCAGTCCACGCTAACCATGTTCCCAAGCTAAACTAGTCCCACTTGCCCATTTTTGGCCCGTATCTCACCAAACCTTTCTTTTTTAAAAAGTACTTGTGTGAAAGTCTTAAATATTGTAAGTGTACCTGCATCCAACACACGCAGTTCATTCCATTCTTGAACCACCGTGTAAAAAAGATTTTAATAAGTACACTAGGGGCAACTTTCTCCTCTCACCTTAAAGATATGCACCTGAGTTTTGAAATCCCCTGCCCTTGGGAAAAGGCTTTGCTATTCACTATATCTATACCCCTCATGATTTTATAAACCACTGCAAGGTCACCCTTCAACCTTCTACATGTCAGTGAAAAAAGTCCCAGCCTATTTTTATAACTTAAACACTTCATTCCCAGCAACATCCAAATCTTTTTGAACCCACTCCAATTTAATAATATCTTTTCTATAGCAGGGCGACCAGAACTGCACACAGTACTCCAGACAAGGCCTCACCAACATCCTGCACAACCTCAACATGACAGCCCAACTCCTATACTCAAAAGGAGTGAGAAACGAAGGCAAGCGTGCTAAACACCTAAACTACCCTGTCTACCTGTGACAGAAATTTCACATAATTGTGTACCTGAACTCTAGCCAGGACCCTACCATTAACTGCACCCTGCCCTTGTTTGTTTTACCAAAATGCCACACCTCACTTTATCCAAATTAAACTTCATCCATCACTCCTCAGCCCACTGACCCAATTGATCAAGATCTCTAATCTTAGATAACCTTCACTGTCCACTACAGCAACAATTTTAGTATCCACAAACTTGTCATGCCTCCTAAATTCTCATCCAAATAGCTTAAGTAAGTGACAAACATGGACCCAGCACCGATCACTAACACTGCTGGTCACAGACTTCCAATCCAGAAAACAATCCTCCACCACCATCCCGTCAATTTTGTATCCAATTGGCAACCTCACCCTGAATCTCGGTGTGATCTAACTTTAGTCTACCACGTAGAACTTTCTCAAAGGCTTTACTGAAGTCCACATAAATAACATCCATTGCTCTGCTCTCAACCATTTTGGTTACTTCCTCAAAAACTCAAGTTTGCAGGACACTAACTCCCTCACCAAAAAAAAACCATGCTGACTATCCGTAATTATTCCTTGCCTCTCCAAGTGCATGTAAATTGTATCTTTCAGAATCACAAACAATTTACCCATTTCAGGCTTACAGGTCTATAGTTCCCAGGCTTCTCCTCAGCCTTCCTTAAGGAAAAGCACAACATTAACCACCCTCCAGTCCACCAGCACCTTACACGTGGTTATTGGTG